CAGGGCTCATCTGGAGGTAAATTATGAATTTTTCAATAGCGCCGCCCATTTATAGAACGCGCTGCCCAGTGTGGGTGTGTCCCCTAATTTTATGCGTCCACTGATTTCCTATACCTTCCCACTTTTTCTACTCTCCAGCTCGCCTGGAACCGAATTACAAATTCTTAAAGAAAGGCACCTGGTTTACGGCACATCCCGCCTACCGTAGGCAGCTTGGCAGAGCTCATTCTGTTCCGTACGTCCTGGCCACGTCCCACCCATTACAGCCTTGCTTCAGATTATTTCCGGACATACAAAGAAACTAATAATGAACATCCCAAACACTATATGTGACATTCAATCGCTCTCGAAAATTTATCCAAACTGCGAACAATTATACATACGTTAACTCTAAGCTACAGCTAAGCTCAGTGGAGAGCTCTTTCTCTTTCCCTGGCCTCTCTTTCCAGCGCCTTCACCTTCTTACGTGTCTCCTTCGAAACGTAATCAGGTGGTACCTGAACGAGTGGTAAATTTCCAACATCACTTTCAAAGAACAGGAAAACAACTAGAGAGATAGGTAGAGATGAACTCACCAGATAACCAGGAATATACCGACGTCCGATCATTTCACCAACAAAGAACCAGAAAATGACCTCCATTCCGACAGCAGTGTACACGAGAGCCTCCTGGAAATGGCCTCGAAGCATGATCGTGGAATTCTCCGAAATACTAAAGTGTGAGTATGCAAGGAACAAGCATACAGAAGAGGGATTCTCTTCGATACTCAGTGGAGTTTTTTCCTCGCCCTGCTCCTAACACTACGACCTCCTTACGTGCCTCACGAAAAAGGTAGTTTCATGAGCCGAAACATGAGAAACCATTCAGAAATCTTCTATGGTAATGCATTGATGACAGTCGCGTTTTTCGGGAAAGCCACGGATGGGAATACGGCAGTTCCGTGCCAATTATCAGCTACCATTGACTCACAATATCGAAAGATTACTTTGTTGCTTTGTGAGTCTCTCGGAAACCGACTAAGCTATCTCAAATGGAGCACCCTCTCTACTATTCTAACTCACTAGGCACCACCACAAGTCCAGTCCCCACAGGCGTAGCCAGCCTCGGCAAGCATATGTGCACCGACAAATCAATCCCTACCCCGCGGTCACTTTAGCTTTTAGGTATCTGCAACATTCTCACCATCTTTTTCAGTCTTTGGAAATCTGCCACAGTCTCACTTCATCATGCATTTTCAACCTCGGAAGCCGCATCCCAGGAAGCAAAAAACACCGCACACCCGTGCGCACGCCCCTGCCCAGTCTCTTTACAAAGCTACTGTTTGACGCAAAAACTATTGTCCTTGCTCTAATCACGCTAACTTCTGGAACGAACCAGAAGAATTAGTGGGGCCAAGTCTCGGCGTTATATGGAGCGAAATGGAACCGCCGAGTAGAAATACACTGCTGATGTCCGAACAGGTAGTCAATAGACTAGTGTCCAGAAGTATTATCATATAAATGTGATTTTTGTGAGAAAGAAAAGTTCATACAATTTGACAAGAAAAGGCGTTAGCGCCGATATAGCGTCAAATATATCAACTTCAAAAACGAATGATATATTGGTGATCAGGGCCCAGAGTAATGTTGCCATTTTCAACTCTAAATATCCCATCCAAAGTGTGTTCTTTTTTTTTTTTTTTTCAGTGTCGGACACCCACCTGTCACAAGTGAATAGAAAAAGAAATAAACACACCTATAAAAACCAACGTAAAAACCCAAAAAGTAATGAAAACCAGCATGAGCCACCAGTGGCTCACATTGCTGTAAATGTGTTAATGGAGAAAGGAATGAGACTAAAAGAGACCCACCCGAACAGTTAGTTGCTTGTACTGTTTTGTTTGAATGAACTGTGTAACCTTCTTCCAATCGGCCTTGATAGCTGGCCAATCTGAGGTTTTCGGTGGTGCAAGCTCATGTTTACCAACAGCCTGGAAACAAAACTTGTCATGCAAAGCAAAAGATATAAACATATTATAAAATTACTCGATAGTCTCAGAAATGCTTATTTGAAGTGAATAGCTCCAGGAAGATGAAGTAAAGATGAAGTGGAGCTTGAATTGAAAAGAAGTGGAGTTCACCTCTTACTTTAACGGAAAGGTGATGAAACTAGCTACTGACCTTCCAGAGTTTACGATCTGTAGCTGAACTGATTCTCTCGCAGAGGTCTAATAGCTTTCAAGCTTATAAGAACATTTATACTTCGGTATCCATAGCACCTCGTATGTGCAAGTGAAGTTACCACTTATTTTCATGATCTTGACTACGGCACTTTCACTACAGCTCAGGGGTCGCGGTCATCGTCGTGTTTATTTCCTTTTTATACATGACACAACTATTCCACAAAAGTGAAAAAAAACTTGGAGTTCTATGCAATGAAATAAAATCTCTTTAGCTGCGAGTGATGGGGAGTGAGGCTGGGACTGGCGCCGCCAGCCCGAATCCACCGGTTTTTTTTTGTGGGTAAGCGATAACAAGTGGTTGAAAGCAACCCATACGAGCAATAAATGCAGTGTTGTCGC